TCTCCCCTCCCCATTACAGCATATGCGTCAAGTCTAGGGAAGGGGAGAAAGAGAGAGATAGAGGAGTACGACGTAAATGTTTTATCCAGCCACCACCCCACCCTACTACCACGTTGACCAGCAATGACCAGTCATGCTCCTCCCCCTTTCCCCCCTGTGCTACCATTACGTCACTTTTTTTCAGGCATCCCATTTTTTTCGTTTTTTTTTGTTTGTTTTTTTGCTCCTTCCTGTCTATTTTTTTTCGTTTTATTTATTTTGAACTCCACCACCCTTCAGGGGCCACGCGCGACCCGGTAGCGTCCTTTGTGACGCCACAGCATCACAAGCAGAAAATCGGATAGAAAATAATGTCCATCATTTCACATTTTTTCATTCTGGCCTTTTGAATTCAATTACGTGGACCTTTTTTGTCGCACCACCAAAGGAATGTAACTGTATACGACTTGAAACATTTTTAAAAATTCGTCAGAGATGTGTGTTTTGCCAAACAAGAACAATTACATAAACTATACAACACGGATGATGTTTTTTTAATTATTTTTTTTTTGCATTCTAATGCAGTCTCGTTTAAACCGCCGACACTCACCTGTCATCGTAGACGAATCCGGCGCCCAGGGTGTTGGCGTACAGCAGGAATGCCAGGACGCCGACCCCGACGTCGGCCCGGGCCACGAGGGCCACGGGGCCCGGCAGCCTCATCCTGCGGGTGCTGCGGGTCCTGCGGCAGACAGACGGACGGACGGGCAATTTAGTCCAATTCAGAAAAAAAAAGTGGCGTCCGGCTGCAGTGTCCTCCCACGTCACCGAGCTGCGCTGCGCTGACCTGCCAACGGAAGGCAAGCTCGATACTCCTGGCCAAATAAGGTCACTCCGGTTGTGCTAAAAAAAATTCGGTTTCCGTATTCACCGACCATTTTTATTTTAGTGGGAAAACAAGCGCGTTTCGAAAGGAAAACAAGCTGGTGGTGGCTAGCGCCGCCAGCGCGTCGTGGCGCAACAGGTCCGGCCCGCTGCCGGGCCGACTCGCGAGGGCACAAAGGTCATGTCGCGGACCAATTTGCATACGGCGCACGCCCTCGGGGCGTCGGGCGCGTTACAATAGCCAGGGGAAACGGGAAACAACAACAATAATGTTATTAATAATAGGAAGAAACATAACAATAAGCATTTGCCGAAAAAAGACAACCAGAATATCCATAAGGAAACAATTTAGGGTATTTTTAAAAAATATTTTTGTTGCTCAGCATTGTGGCTCTCCCCCTCTGCGCGCTGTGCTGTGTATTTTCATCTCGCGGACCCAAATAATAGCAGCGGCACGCCCCGCCACGCCGCTCCACGCCGCGGGCGGGACAGGCGCTTGCAATCTCTGTTGGGCCCTCTTGCTTCCTCCTTCTTTGGCAAACCCGCAACAAATGAAATTCCGCGGCGCGATGGGCGCGGCGGGTTAGGGAGAGGAGGAGGGGTGGGGCAGCGTGGACCAGCAGAGCCGGGGCCGAACGTCACGACGGAATGTCACGCCGGACAGGCGAAGGGCTCGCTCGCGCGCTCGGCCTGCTGTAGCCTCCCCTAAAAAGGGCTTTGTTTATGAGTTTTTTTTTCTGGTGGAGTGTGGTCCACACCCTTTCGCCAGACAAGCCCGGCCCCATGCAACCCTTATAAGCGATGCGGCAGGCCCCGCGCGCGCTGGTCTGCGGGGGTGAGTCGGGTGGTTTTCAATTCCGCGACATGATCGCGCCCCCCTACCCCTCCCGGGGCTGGCGTCTTAGCGCCCTTCCCCGCTGCCCCTCCCCCCCCCCCCCCCTTTCCTACCCCTTCGACCCTTCCATCCCGAGGAGCCGACAAACTCATTACGCGCTGCATAATTTGCATAATTGCATCCGGACTAAATTGCTCCACTTCTCTGTCTGTCTCCGTTCCTCCCCCTCTCTCCCCCCGTCCCCCTCTCTCCCTCTCACGGACAGCGGCGGCAGTCCCTTCAATAACCAGCTCTCCCCCCCCCCCCTTGCCCTCCCCTCTCCTCATAAACACTATATCGGAAAAATTGCAATTACCTCGCTGTTTAGGCCCCTGGAGAGATGAGCGAAGAGAGAAAAGATAGGCAGCTCGATAGAAAATGATGATAATAATAATAAAAAAAACAACAGGAGAAACAGAAAATAAGGGGTGGAAGTAGGAGCCATGAGCACCCACACCGCAGCGCTTTCTATGTAAAACCTATTGAATCTAATTAAAAACAACATTTGTTAGAAACTGCATGAAACTCGATTTTGCGATTACTCCAGCAAACGGATTAGTCTAGGAGTCCAAATTGTATTATACCTTCTTGTTTTGATAGACTTCACAAAATTTAGTTTAAAAAAATGCGAATGTACTAAATCGTAGTTGTTTTAGGAACTACATTTTGCCTCCTTCCTGATGAGACTCTGATTGTGGTCGAATTCAGTAAATGATTCTCTGGGTATGCGTGCCGTGCTGTGCATCAAAGTTGCAATGTTTGACTTCCAGTGGCCTTACGATACCACCAGCTCCTGATGTGTGTGTGTGTGTGTGTGTGTGTATGTGTGTGTGTGTGTGTCTCCTGACAGACACACGCACACACGTGTCACGTCACGCGCGGTGTCATGCACGGGCCCGCTCGCCACGCGCTCCAAAGAGACACGATGTCACGCCGCGTCACGTCGCCCGTGACGTGACAGGCGTGACACTGCGTGACAGGGGTCGCCACTGCCCTGGCGCGCGCCACGCCGCGACCCTCGGCAGCGACTTATGAAATTACACAGCCACCCCTCCTATGCTCCACCCGTCGCACACCCTCGCTACCCAGCTACATCCCCACAGCACGCCTTCATGCCAAAATTCCTTCACCGTTCGTTCGCAACAACAATTTAAGGAATTTTTTATTTTTGTGGTAGGTTTACGATTTTTGCCGCAGCTTTTTTCACACAAAATTTTGAATGTTCGCAGAACCTGCTGTTGCATGTGCTCGAACGCATTTTAAGATATTTTCCGTGTGCATACACTGTGAATCGTAAAGGAGACTTGTCAGTCTAAGGGTATAGTCTTAACTTTATGCTGAAGCTGAGCCCTTTGCAAACTTTTTTCCGGCAGTGTACAACAGGTTACCTGCACTGGCGGCTCCAGCCCTCCCTCCCAGCGCTGCATCCCCTTTGAGGTGAAGAGGGACTTTGAGGCGTGCCATTTCATTAGGGCGTGGCGGTGCGAGGCGCCACTAGCTACCTCGGGGTGGGGTTGGGGGTGGGGGTTGCACCCGGCAGGTGCCACTAGCTACCTCTGGGACGGGGTCAAAACCAGCAGGCGCCACTAGCTACCTCGGGGTGGGGGTTGCATCCAGATCAGTACGCTGGAGCACAACTGTCAGCGCCCTACTCGTCAGATGATCGACAGGTTCGGTTGACAGCACCCCTGCAAGATCGATTATTGCCGTTTCCATTTATAGAGACCGTTCACTAATCACACCAATTTCACTAAATAAAGTAGTTGTTTTTTTAAAACTTTATTTGACTAATGTATTGGAGGGGGTAAAAGACAATGTGTCCTCTGATATTTCAATACTGAAAAGTGTGCAACTGGTATGCAAATGCCAGTGTTCAACTTCAAGGTTGGCTTGGCGAGCAGCTTTTGACACTACACTTTAAAATCGATATCGAGGGGTGGATAACTCCCCTGCCAAATGTACACCTCTAATTCTGCCCAATTCAAACTAATTCAGACCAATTCAATCTAATTCAAACTAATTCAAAAGTAATTCAATTAATTCAGTCCAATTCAAGCCAATTTACATTCAATTCAAGTCAATTCAAGCCAATTCTCACTAATTCAGTAGAATAAAATCACAATAATTCAAACCATTTCAAAAACAATTCAACCAATTCAGTCCAATTCAAATTCAATTCAAGCCAATTCAAGCTAATTCAAATTCAATTTTTGAAATTTGTACACCCAATTCAGGAGTTATCCACCCCTCGATCGATATACTATAAAATCGTATAAAATTTACACAGCATGCACGAAGGAGTTGAACCCTGACGCGTGTGCACGCCTGTTGCACACGTTTGATTTCAGTATATTCGTCAGAGATGCGCCTTTTTTCTGAAAAAAAATTGTCACCGTGTCCTACGGGCTTCTCACATGCACCCATGGAGTGCTAGGTGTGGAAAATCTACTCTCCTCTAAAAGTGAAGTAATTTGTGTACGACGGGGCCGGGTCTCCGCCTGAGACCGCGCAGCAAGCCGGGGTTCACAAAGAGACTCACACAGACAGTCCCACAGACAGACAGCGGTCCCAAAGCCTGGCCGGACGCGCTGCTCGCCGGTGCATCTCATGAAGCTCATGTCTGTCCGGCCGAAGATCTAATCTCCACGCGGCGCACACAGGGTCCTTTGACCGAGCTGCACCCCTCCCCCTCCTCCTACCTCTCTTCTATCTCCCCCCTGTCTCCCCCCCCCTCTCTCTCTTTCCCTCACCCTCCATCCCTCCCTCTCTCCCCCGGGGTCAGACCTAACCCCTCCTGCACACTGGGCCGCGGGGGCCTCTCCGGGGGAGTCGCCACACTCGGGTACTCTGCAGAGCGACGTCTATTAGGGAAATGAAATGTTAATCCGACCGTGGGATGATGTGTCACGTGACAGTGTGCACCCCAGTCCCTGCTCGCTCTCCGTCTCTCTCTCTCGCTCTGCTTTTGTCCCCTATCATGCCGTCCCGCTCTCACACTCTCTTATACCTCGCGCGTCTCGTCGCTGCGAGACACGCCGGCGCTACGCAACAGCAGCAGCGGCAGCAGCAGCAGCGCTTTCAAAAGAATTGCGCCACAGCCCTCCTCTCTGCTGTTGCAGGATGACGAAGGGTGAAGGGTGGGGGGGAGGTAGGTAGACGCCCCATGAAAAAAAAAAAACAATTTTACGAGTTTGAATTTTTTTTGTGTGTATCTGATTTTGTCATGAGAGCTGTGCAGTGCCCCCTCCCCTGACTTGCCGCTTACCTAACGCTTGTTATCCCGAACTCCGACCCAGATCGGGCCTCCCCCCCCTCCCCCTATCCCCTTCTCTCTCGCTCAGCCAAACCGTCATGCTGTTTGTCCAACTATGCCGAGTAGTTCTCTCCCCACCCACCCCCATCCCCGCCCCTTTAGCCCGTGCGCATTCCGAAGCCCCTCCGAAACTTCCACCTAACCAGTCAGCCAGACGATTGGGCAAAGACCAACCGAGGCTGGCTGGCCGGAGCCGAAGCCTCTGCCCGCCGATACGATTCGAGTCTGAGCCGACATGAGGCTGACTGTGTTGTTCGTCCAGCAATCGGCATCCCCACCCCTTTCCCCACCCCGCTGGCCTGGCCGATACCCACGGACGGGACGGCCCCTTTGAGAGAGCCAAATCACCCCATCCGGCCGGCCATCCGGCGGCAGACGGGCAGGCAAGCAGAGAAAGTTAGCACCAGCACCGCTGCGAAAAAAACGGTTGAGACTTTTGTCCAGATAAAATAAAAAGTCACCAGGTGCAAATTTATAAACCTAATTCTACTCCCTCGGCAACCACGACTGGGAATGGGGTGGGGTGACGCATGACACAAAACCACCCTCTATCAATTGTTTTTGTCTTAATTTTATGCGCCCTTAAAACGACGCCAGAATATATGCAAGTTGCATTGCAACATTGCAGGCCGCCGAAGTCTGGTAAAACCGTGTTTAACTTGATAAAGTC